TCCTCTCTCTCATCTCTCTTCCTCCTCCTCCCCTCCTGTCTCCTCCCCCCATCCTTCTCCTCAACTTCGTTTCCTCCAATTCTTCTCCTCTGCTTCTCACCGCTTCCTCTCAGCCTGGTCCACCCTTGCCCGAGACTTCTTCATCGTCAACCCTGTAGACGGCTCGTTTGTGATGCAGACAGGCCCAACGTTCTTCTTCATCTCCTTCATTGTCATCGCTCCCTATACCCTCCTCCCCGTTGTCATCGCCGTCCTCCTCCAGAACTTCACCAGGGCCGCCAAGCAGGAGAGGCTGCAGGAGCAGCCCAAGGAGCAGCAGGCGATCGCAAGCATGCGCTCCTCCCTCGATCCCCTGCACAGGGAGTTTGCGCTCTCTTACAACCACGAGGACCTGGTGAGCAAAGTCCAGCGGGTGTTCAACAGGCTGGACGAGGAAGGGAGCAACCTGCTCAACTACAACAAGATCTACGAGGGGCTCCGGAAGCTCGAATTCTCACCTCGCATCAAGCTGTCCATCGAGGAGTTCCAGAGGATGACGCGAGCTGGGAAGCTGCTGGACGAGGAGGGCCAGATGGACCGCGGACAGTTTGAGCGGATGATGATAGGAGAGTTCTCCTGCTACTGCGAGGCAGCTCTTGTGAACAAGATCAGAGTTCTGCTCTCCGAAGACTCCTCCTTCGGCTTCCTGCTGGTCACGCAGCGCATGCTGCTTGCCGACCAGGCGGCCAAGGAGAGGAGGGAGGAGGAGGAGGCGGTGGACGAGGAGGAGAAGGAGATGGTGATGTTGAAGAAGAGGCAGATCTTGAGCGAGACTACCTTCAGCCTTCGAATGGTCCTCAGAGACCTTAAGGCGCTGAGAAGAGGAGCGGCGACTCTCTCCAAGAAGCTCGCGGATATGGAGGGTCAGGCTCTCTTTCCGAAGACCCCGGGCGATGGAAGAGGAGGAGGACGAGGGAGGACGAGGACGAGAAGGCTTGCATCGGGAGGAGGCAGAGGAGAAGGCTTCGCAAACACTTGATGGAGAAGATGGGAGAGGGGAGGAGAGGAGGGAGGGAGGAGAGGAGGAGGAGAGAGGAAAAGGGGAGGCCGCAACAAGGGGGACGG